CTCCCTCCACTTTAATCTTTCTTTTGTGACTCGGCTGTTTTAGCGTTTTTTAGTCCCGCTCCCCGATGAGCTGGACCCCGACCCCGACCGCGGACGGGGCCGGGGCCGGAGCAGTTGGCAAGGCTCGCTCGCAAGGAAAGAGCAAGCAAGAGCAAGCGAAAGAGAAACAGAGACAGGCTAGACATCGCTGCGGGCTTATTAGCAAGAAACCGGTGGGCGGTGGAGAAAGACGAGGTCGCAAGGGGAACCCGACAAGATGGTAGATCGGGCCATCGGGCCCGTCGGGGGTTGAGGCAAGCCGCGGGCAAACGCTGCAAACAGAGCATTCAGGCATTGCGAGCAATGCGAACGAAGCCGAGCAAGCTCGCGGATAAAGATGGCTTCGCAATATTTCAATAAACGTCCCTCATTTATTTCGTATGGTCCTCATTAACGCACAGTCCAGCACAGTCCAGCACAGTCGCATCGGAGTCGTCGGGGAGGCCACTCTTGTGTCACGCATATTATTATATTTATATTATTGAATAATATTTATGCGTTGAGCACGTTTCTCGATGCGAAATTCTCTCTCGATATTCTTGACCTTACCAAGCAATTAATTAACAAAATTAATAAAGATTCAATTCGACGTTTAATTTTAAAACCATTTTACGATTACAGGATTGATGTTTTTGATTGCAGATTCCTCTAATGCGGGAGAAGTAAGATGCTATTGCAATCAACCAGAATGCGTTCCTCAGGGATACATGTGTCGCGGTAGGAGTTGCTTTACAAAATTACCATCGAACGCAAATGCGTCACTTTCGAGAGCGGAGCACACTGCTCACAGCGGTTGCCTCGATGAAAATTTGAAAAATCGTCAGTGCCCCACAGGATTTCTCTGCTGCGATCAAGATCTCTGCAATCATGTGGACAGCCCCGCGATGAGGAACAGGCTCAACAAGACTCTACGAGGTTCGAGACGAATGTGTTTTTCTTTTCTTCCTTTCATCTCGCATGCTATTACAACAATGCATTTTCAACATTCCACTTGTCACATTCCGTCATAAACCGAATTAAATTTCTCTTTTTTGATACAAATATCTTTTTCACGAAAATCTCTTTCTAAACTTTCGAAAAACCTATTCGTATTCGTAAAACGTCGATAATCGATTGATTTAATTTATTACTTGTTGATAATATCATTGTAGTATTGATCGATGATCAACGACCGTACTTGGCTCCATTGCATCCAAACAGTCGCGGAAATCAGGCGATTGACGGATGGTTCCCGACGGCGACGATCGTCGTGGCTATCTGTGGATTCATCGTCCTGCTAATGATCGCCAGCCTAGCTGTCAGATGGCTTCAGCCTATGCCGGCACAAAACGCAACTAAATTCGTGCCACATCGAACATCTAATAATGGGCCACCCTTACTTGGACCACCGAAAGTGCCTCTGATTTAAGAAATTTCATGACAAAGTTTCCCAATAAGAGGTGTTCTAAGTAATAGTTTAATTAATAGAGCTGGCTGCGCTAGTTTTGATACATGACTCGCAAAACCGGAGTTGTGCCATACACATACATTTGTGTAGCAAAGTATTTGTATACCGAGTACTTGTATGTTAATATTATTGAGGATAATTAAGTATATAGACCGGGGATACGATTTCTCTTTTTACAACGAATAATGCTATTCCAATTTAACTTTGTTTCAACTTTCTTGATTTTTTTACAATGTGCATATGAGAAATATAGCCTGTGTGTGTGTGTGTGTGTGTGTGTGTGTGTGTATGCAAGTTTGCAAGATTCCACAGAGTCATGTACCAAATAAACGGCTGTTTAGAAAGCTAGCGGGCCGTCGAAGGCTCCACTTGGCTGTGAATTCTACGAAGAAAGCAACTACTGTAAATTATATCTCATAATGATAATGTATTACTCGTTGCATTTCCTCGAAACGTCGACACGACACGCATGTCGACATCGCGAGATCAAAGAGTGAGAATGGATCAAGATTTTTCGATCCTTTAAACATGACGTTACGACGACACAAAGTATATGATACGTTTCTGTGTCACTATAAGATTGTAAATATATTATAGAATGTATTTTTTATCATCTTGAATGATACATTAAATTTGATGATATTATCGAGTTATAATGATGCGAGAACGTTCTTTAACGTTGCAACTATTGAACTCTGTTCCCTAAAAATATTAGTACGTAATTTTAATTCACGAATATTACACGCCAATAAAAAGTGAGGGAAAATTATATATTTCATAATAATTTATAAGAAAATTCAATAGAAAGTAAATTTGTGTAAGCGACATAAAATTTTTCGTTCAAGTCGCCGTTGCGACTTCGGTCACAGCCAATTTGTGAATATTTTATCTTTTCTTTATATATTTTTTAAGCGTATTTCATATAAACACTGTATTGTGATAGTACGACATAATAATGACTAAATAAATATGTACAGTATGCCTGCCTAAACTTTATTTTATACATGTTACTTGTGAGAAATGGAAAGAAAAGTAAAGTATATTTTAAGTGTCTTTTCATTGCATCTTGTCTGTATTTATTTGTTGCTTTTCATCGATAACATACACGTACCATATTGGTATCCGGTATATAGGGAGGATACGTCATTACTCTATAAAATAGGTTTTCATATGATTCACTCAGCTCAAAAAAAGATTTCGTGCTGCATTGAAATTTCAATCATAAAACGCGCATATAATATAAATGTTTTGGCATCACAGTTTAAAAACCGTTCAATTTCATTATACATACAAACACACACGCACGCACGCACGCACGCACGCGCGCACACGCACGCACGCACACACACACACACACACACACACACACACACACACACACACACACACACACCGCACGCACACACACACAAGGGTAGGCCATTTTAATCAATACACGCGAATATCTCGAAAAGGAGAAATTTTTTCAAAAAATGTTTCAAACAAAAGTTTTATGGTTTTAAGGGGGAAAGAAGACAGTGACCTTGTTTGACCTTGAGAAGATGTCCTTAAGGTCAGATCCATGTTAAATAAAATTTTTTAAACGGAACCCTCCATTTTTTATTGCGTATTCTTATAGCTTATTTCAAGAGCTTTCCAAAACGCTATAATAAAGTACTTTTCCGTTAAGTACATTTCGAGTTATGAGGTTCGAAAGTTACAGTACTTAAC